TTACGGTCTAGGGTTTAGGGGTTAGGGTTCTCAAGTTCGGCCTCTTGGACTTAGGGGTTTACGGCTCTAAGGTTATGGACTATGGGGTTAAGTTCGGCTCTGTTTTGATTAAAAACAAACTCAGGGGTTTAGGGCTATACGGCTATGGACTATGGGGTTCTGAACTTGGGGGTTTAGGGCTATAAAGTTTATGAACTATGGGGTTATGGAGTTTGGGGGGATGGGGTTTAGAATTTTAGGCTCATTGCAAGGCTATTGGAATAGGATTATGCTCAAGGCTTCTTTTGTAACCATAGGGGTTACTGTTCGGGTTAACGTGCGAACCTTGGTAATTAGAAGAAGGTTCCGCTGAAAGGTTCGACAATAGTATAATCGGAGGCCAGTATCAGGATCTTACGGAGCTTTGAAGAGTTACAGGTGGGGCATACTAAACCGTATAATAGAGAGCCTGGCGAGGCTTTTAATACAGCATCGAGCGGGTTTAGGAATTTTATTCGTAGTTATTCGGACCTCCATTCTACTCTGAAGTCTGGCTTCACTGATCGAATGTCAAGCATGCGGTTCAAAGCCTAGCTAGAGCGTTGACCGATTGGGTTACCTTGTTTCGAAGTCGGCGCTCTTCTGAATAGGGCTTGCTTTTCGAGGGCGCCTACATATCGCCATGTGAAATCTACCTTTTTGGAAGAAGCATCTTACTGCACACTCACCCCAAAAAGCATAATGATACAAAGAAGGATCAGTTTGATAACGATTCTAGACCCTCAATCCTACACCGTCGACGGCACAGATCCCTACAGCCTAAACCATATAGATCCTGAGCCCAAAGGCTACAGGCACACTGCACACTACCCTAAACCCTGAACCCTTAACCCTAAAACTCTACACCTAAAGCCCAAACCCTAAAAACTACCATCCCAACTTAACCCTAAACCCTAAACCCCAAACCCCATATCCAAGAGGCGGAGGGCATCGGTAGCCGCATCGCGTGCGCTGGCGGTGCAAACCTTTCAAACGGACTGCTGGCTCTGTGCAGGGGTCCGGGCACCCAATAGTTGTAGACTCCCCAAACTACTATAAAGGATTAGGGCCTAAGGGATACTAGCAAGCTACTAGAAACTAGCACAACTACAGTTCCAAAGCCGAGTATCCAAGAGCAGGTGACGGATCAAAAAAACTTTTAGGATCAAAAAATTCACAAACAAAACATAAACCAGCAAAAACGCGACAGGTTGCAGAAAAATCTAAGAATGAGAGATCAAAAACATTAAACTAGGATCAAAAAGGAAGTAAACTGGTCGTAGTAGTCGAGTAGTAGTCGTCGTCGTCGTAGTAGTACTACTACTAGTGGTAGTAAGCAGGCTTGTTGGCTCTCTGTGCCGCCACGAGCTGGCTTTAAGCAGACAACAAGGTTCCCAGAGAGGTGCATACCCTGTTTTTGCTTCAGGAACACTACTTGGAGAATCCATGTAATTAAACCCTTATAGAACCCATCTATCTATCTATGTAACTAATTATCTATGCATCTAACACATGATGATAATGAAGGACTAAAAAAGTTACTCCGACAATCTTCCAGAAGGCATCGTCCTTATCGATGGAACTGCTATTGCAGCGTTTTCACGATGCGCTGTCTGATCCGGATAGCAGCGCATCAATCAGCGCTGGGCACTGCACCAGTGGTGGGGCGCTGTTGACATTCCACCGGGCATGGGAAACATTTTCTGTCTGATTTTCTTTTCGATTCTGCATAGAAACCCTCTCAATCGCCTCATCCTGCGCTCGTGTTAGCATATCGTATGCGTTAAAGTACTAGCAAAAGTTACTAGTAACAACTAGTATCTCTGTACACTATCTATGCATGTATTTATGAGTGAATGTATGCATTTATGTATGCTTGCATGTACAGTACACCTTCATTTCTTTCTTCCTTCCTTCCTTCCGTCCTTCCGTCCTTCCTGTTTTTTGGCTTTTGCCTGCCTTCCTTCTTCCTTTGTTCCTTCCGTCCCTCCTTGTCTCCTTGTTTCCCCTCCTTCCTTGCTTCCTTCCTTGTTCCTTTCTCTCCTTTCTTCCTTCCCTCCTTCGTTCCTGCTCTCTGTCCCTCCTTCCTTTCTGCCTTCCTTCCTTGCTTGATTCCTTCCTCGTTTCCTTTCCTTTTGGTGGCTTCATATTTTTGGATCCTAATTTATTTTTTCTGATCCCTATCCCGAGCGTGTAGGTCCAGTGTAGGTACCCATTGGACTCTTGGACTCATGAGGCCAAGCTACAGCGGGGCCTAAGTACACAGAATAAGGTTTTGGGTATATACTTATACTCTAATGAAATAAGGGCCCCCTGACTAGTGGGAGTTATCTTGACTCCTCCATTCGTCACCGAAAATGAACCCTGCAGGTCCTTGGCCCTGTTTGGCATGAGTTTAGGGGATTCAGGGTTTTAGTACTATCGTTTAGGGCTTGAGATGTATATCACACGGTTAAGGGTTTTGGGCTTTAGGGTTAAGGGTTCGGGATTAGGGTTTAGGGTTTAGGGTTCCTAAACCCTAAACCCTAAACCCTAAACCCTTTAATGTTTAGGATTTGACGTTTAGGCTTTGAGGTTTGGAGACATTGGGGCTCCAGGCTGATTTGTGAACGAGCCTTTCCTTGAAGCGCTGCAGGCCACCGCATTCAGAAGTGGAGAGTAGCTAGCTTAGGATTTGCGGTTTGCAGTCCTAAGCTTAGGATCTAGGACAGGGTGTGCACCCTACCCTTCAGATGCCCCACAACCTGGCGTTCAGAACATCCTTGACCTGAAACCAAAGTGGATTTCAAGTCGAGCGTCGTGAGCATCAGTTGGTGTGCAAAGGTAAGCGATGGCAGGTGGCACCTCACGGTTTAGGGTTTAGGGCTACGGTCCCATGACTTTCACGGGTCACAAAAGGCACTGCAACTCAAGGTTAAGGGTACATGCAACGCAGTGGAGTTTGTAAGGACGTAATTATATTAAATGAGGCAAGCACATACAGGAATACGAAAAAGGAAGGTTTCTTGGGGTTGAGGTGGGGTTTGAGGAGATGAGGGTTTAGGGTTGTAGAGCTTTGATGGTGCAAAAGGCGTCCGCATGTTGGCTACAATACAGGGTACAGTTGAGGGCGGCTACCTGCCCGCACTAAACCCTAGCCCCAATCCACTAAGGAAGCTTATTCAACAAAAAACAACCAATCAGGAAGTGAACTAAAAATGAATCAGTTCGATAAAGGAACAAGTACATGAGCAAGGCGGGCTTCATCCGAAACTCTAAACCCTAAACCCTGCTTTAATCCTAGATGTCCATACCCTCAGCCTGACGTTTTGTGAGTGCGTGAAGAATCAAGCTGATGTCCTCGGTTCAAATGCAGAAACCCGAAGCCGTCACGGTTTAGGGTTTAGGGGTTTAGGGGTTTAGGGCTGTACCTTCTAAGGTTCAAGGTGGATTTAGTATTTAGGGCTGGTGTAGAGCTTAAGGAACACCTATCTTTACGAAACCCTGGCATACCCTGTCCAATATTTCCAAACCTACATTCCCTAAACCCTAACTCCTAAACCCCTGAACCCCTAAACCCACAACTACCACCCTAAACCCAATGCCCTCAACAAGAAAACTCTAAACTACCCCTCATCCCCTAGACCCAGAACTACAACCCTAAGCCCTAGGCCCTCAACAAGAAAACTCTAAACTCCTAAACCCCTTAAGCCGTCTCCTTTTTCTGAAACGACAGAAGCCTTCAGCTCCTCCACCAAATCTGCAATGATGGCCTTGGGCGAGGAATACGGCTTAGGGTTTAGAGTTTAGGGTCCACTGGTTGGGTTTAGGGGTTTTAAGATTTGGGGTTTAAGGGTTTGGGCTTTCGGGAATTAGGGGTTTAGGCTGTAAGGGGCTTTAAGATTTGGGGTTCAAGGCCCAAACTGTAGGAGTTTAGGGATTTGGGGCTGAAGGGTTTGGGATTTTCGGGAATTAGGGGTTTAGGCTGCAGCAGTTTGGGGATTTGGGTATACGCTACAGAACCTACCTATTTAAGGACTTGTTATTAGGAAGCTATAAGAAGGAATCCCAAACCAGTGGTCGGGCTGAGGGTTTAGGCTGTAGGGGTTAGGGATTTTGGGTTTGGGGTTTAGGCGTTAAGGCTTTAAGGTTTTTAGCGTTCAAGGCTTTCGTTGCATGTGAACTGCGCCGCGTTCACTCGCTCCCGGCGCTGGCCTTTCAGGGTTTGTAGGGCTTACAAGCCTTAGACCCTACAATTTGGGATTTCCGGTCGGGTTGGGGGTAGTTGAGGGCATATGAGGCTTGCAAGGGGAGTGTTCTAGATTCTAAACTGTGAACGTACTGACATTGAGGAACCCCACCAGGAATGAGTCATTAGAGGTTTTGGGTGATTGGGGCGCCGGGGAATACGTAGATCTGCCGCATCCGATCTGCAGCACGTCCCTCGATACCACGACATTTCAACGGTGTCTGCACTGGACATTGCCTGGTGCAGATCCGCATAGTTTAGCAATTTTTTCGTGGCAAGGTGCAAGTCGTCTATCGTTGCTGTCCACTATCAAACAAGGAAGCCGAACCCTGACCACCTCGTCTGCACTTCTTAACGCACGGACATATGATGTAGAAACCTTGAACATTACTTGTAGCCGAAAAGCCCTACCTGTTTAGGGTTCCTTACTATGATTTACATGCACATGTATATGTATATCTATATCTATATATATAGATAGATAGATAGATAGATAGATAGATAGCTAGATGGATAGAGTTCCTTTAAACAAAATCTTTTCTGCCACAGGCATACCCTCGACTAGACTGGGAAGATATGATGCTGATTCGAGGGCGTCCTTTGAGGATCGAGGCTCCGAGGCTCAGGGAAAAGGCATGCTACTAGGGGTTTAGGGTTTAGGGGTGTAGGGTTTAGGGGTCTTCAGGGGTTTAGGGTTTTAGGCTTAAGGTTTAGGGGTTTGGGGGTTTAGGGTTTGGGGGTTTAGGGTTTAGGGGTGTAGGGCTTAAGGTTTAGGGTTTAGGGGTTAGGGTTCAGGGCTTAAGGTTTAGGGGTTCAGGGGCTTAGGGTTTAGGGGGTGTAGGGTTTAGGGGTCTTCAGGGGTTTAGGGTTTAGGGCTTATATAAGGTTTAGGGGTTTAGGGGCTTAGGGCTTAGGGTTTTGGGGTGTAGGGTTTCGGGGTCTTCAGGGGTTTAGGGTTTAGGGGGGTTTAGTCCTGGGTGAGGACGCGAGGGCTCTCGGTGTTCGGGGCCGGGGTTGGCATCAGGAAGTCTGCGAGGGTAAGTAGACCGACTGCCCCTCTAAGTTTAGGGTTTAGGGCTTTACGTGTTTAGGGTTTTTTAAAGTGCACTAGCCCTTTCTCTTAAAGGGATGAGGGAACCTGACAAAACGAAGCAACGCAAACTCCCGATTTGTCAAACTGGAAGCTTTTCACGAACGGCCTGCTCACCTATGCAATACACACCTTGGCTTTGAAGCCCTAGGTGGGCCCTTTAAAGCCTTTGAACAACACTTTCGCAAACCAGATCCTCGGAAGCTGAAATACAAAATATCCCAAAGGCCTAAAACCAAAAAAAGCCGCAAGGTTGGGATATTCCATAAGCCCCTCTTTAAGTAAGCCAACAGGGTTCCGACTTCAACAAATGTATGTTTCGGACCTCATAGATTCCTTATAGAAACCTTGTGGATCCCTAATATACAGCCCTTATAGCAAAGTCTTATAGATCCCCTGTGTAGTTTCCTGGAACATGGGCCCATGCGGCTGAAGAGCCCCTAAAACCTGAACCCTAAACCCTAAAACCTAAACCCCACAAGCCCTAAACCCTAAACCCTTTAGGGTTTAGGATCCCTAATCCCTAAACCCGTTTGAGGTTAAAGATCCCTAAACCCTAAACCCGTTAGGGTTTAGGATCCCTCAAAAAAAGGGCGAAGTCAAACGGCGTCCATGGCGACGCTGACTCGCACGAAGAGAGGGCCGTCCGCATAGCCTCCGTTGAATTCAGACTGGGGATCTTCGGGGTTGAGATTTAGGGTTTGGGCTTAGGGGTTTAGGGGTTTAGGGGTTTTGGGATTCCGGGATTCAGGGTTTAGGGTGTAAGGTTTAGGGTTTAGGGGTTTAGGGATTTAGGGTTTAGGGTCCAGCAAGCGTGCGCGAGTTTGGGATCGGGGTCTCGAGTTTAGATTCTGGCGATGTGGCATTCCGCCACGTAACCACTGTGAAGCTTTCAGGTCCAGGGGGCTTATGGAGGGGTTCAGGATATGTGCAAAGCAATTTATGATGAACCTCTCTACCGCAGAGCTTGAAAGCCCCCCACAATGATCCTGAAATCCTGAAATGGAATTGAATAAGCTACCCTAAGCCCTGTCGACCCGATACCTTGCACCCTTCGCAGACCCGTCTGAGCGCGAATAAGCATGTCGTGATGGTACCACTCGGCTTTGTCGGGCGTGTCATTAGGCACATCAACATGTGTTTCATTGGGTTCAGCGCACCCGTGCAGGTCTCAAGGACCAAGGTGCTGCTGGGACTCCTGCAAGCACCTCACCCCCCTCCCACTGCACCAAAAACAAGACGTCCTTACCCAAGCTTCAATCTACACCCCCCAACTCAAAACCACGTCTTAACTTCAGTCGCTTCGGGCTTGTTTCGGGCTTCGTATTTAATGCCTTACTGCAGAACATGTCTGGCACGTATCCAAGCGAGCGGCAGTAGGCCCCCAAAACGACGCGCTGGGAGGAGCTTAAGACACCTGGTTACCGTTTAGCAGTACTTAAAGGTTCATGGGACTTCGCAGCTACGGCTAGGGTAACTATACTTCTAACTAGTTGTAGCCCCCAATTAAAGTATACACTTAGTAAGCCCCATGAACCTCCAAGTGCAGGGCTTGGCCCAGGCTTTGGGGCTCGAACTTATAAGGCTCCGGGTTGGCAAACGTCCCAAAACCAAAAGTTGAAAGCCTCTCATGCATTCTCTCCCTGGTTCTTAGTAGGGAATGGAGGAATGGGCGTTTGGGGCTCCTATAGGGGACCTTAAGGGACTATCATAGGGATCCATTCCCCCATTCCCTACTAAGAACCAGTCAGTTCAACATCTGACGGCTTCGAATCCCAACACATACATCCCGCGGCTGGAGTCGGGAGCTCTGGAGACTCAGGAGACTTTGGGCGCTAGGAATTGCGAGTGCTGGAAATGCGAAATGTGCGCGGTTAAAACGGTTAGGCTGGGCTTCCGGAGGGCTTTGCTGCAAGGACTGAGAGTGCCGATGTGATCCTTCCTCTACTCAATGGCCAGGGAGGCGAAGGGACTTTACCGATGCCCTGCACAAAGTTCACCAGGCTTCATAAGGAAGAGCCGCCGGGAGTGTGGGCTAATTCGCAGGCCGGCGGAAGCCGAGCTCAGTGTTTATGAGGGCTCGGGATTGCGCCCTAAACCCTAAACCCTTAAACCCTAAACCCTATTGCACCTAAACTCTAAACCCTAAACCCTTAAACCCTAAACCCTATTGCACCTAAACCCTAAGCCCGGGAAGGCCAAGGTGGAGTCTTTACCCCTTAGCTCCGAACCCCGAGCGCCACACCTCAAACCTTCTAGGGCTTATAGGGATTGCCAGCCTTAGGCTTTGTTGGTTTTAGGGTTTAGGGTTCAGGGTTTAGGGTTTAGGGTTTAGGATTCAGGGTTTATTGGCGCCCTGAGCCCCAAAGCCCGGTCATGGACCTGACACTACCACCGAAAGCTCCGTGTGAATTTCCAACCCTGGAGCTCAAGCCATTCTAAGCCACAAGGTCAACTCTCTCTCTCTCGCTCGCGCTCTCTCTCTCTCCCTCTCTCCCTCTCTCTCTCTCTCTCTCTCTCTCTCTCTCTCTCTGTGGAAACAGTACCGTTCTTGGAGGCTCTAAAATGCTTGTTGCGTCCTCTTACGCAAAGTCGATATTGATGCTAAGATTGTTTTCATGAACGAAGACAAACCGGGACTGCCCTAAACCCTAAACCCTAAACCCATCTTAAGCGAAATTCGATAGATGGGGGCCATGATATGTCTTGGCCAAGCGGCCCTTCAACCAGCTTCGCACCTACCAGCAGGGAGGCTAAGGGTTCAGGGTTTAGGGTTTAGGGGTTAGGGGTTTAGGGTTTAGGGTTTCCGGCTTTAGGGTTCAGGGGTTTAGGGGTTAGGGGGTTTAGGGGTTTAGGGTTTACCTGTGGATTCCCAGGCCTAACACTTCCAGGCGTTAGAGCTGGAACCTTATGATTGTGGCCCGCATGGTCTCAGAATTATGGGGTCCATGACCTGCGATTTCCCAATGGCTTTGGAAGGTCTTAGGATTTAGTATGTATTTCGAGGTCGGGTTTTCCGGGCTCATCACTCAGAGAAAACGTATATAGGAATAGCGGTCGAGAGGTCGTCGGTTCAAGGCTCGCCTAAGGGTTTAGGATTCAGGTTTCACTGGCAAAATTTGGGCTTAGGGTTTAGGGCTGACCGGTTCAGATGACTACTCTCAGGGCAATATGAAGGCTTATGGCTTGCCCGAAACCCTAACCCTAAACCCTTAACCCTATAAAACAAAGCGTGCGGATTGCGAACATCTAGCACAAGTAAGAATGTAGGCGGACATCGAGTTCATGATATTCTACCTGGACCCTGAGTAATTAACCCACTTGCTTACGGACTTATATTTTAGGACATCATAGAAACACCGAAAAGCGTAGCATGTTCAGGCTCCAGGAAACTCTAAGCAAGGACCGACTCAAGCCGAGTTCTCAAAAAAATACAACGAAATCCTGCATTGCTCATAATCCCTTAATGGAGGAATTTACTTTAAATCATACATTATGGGGTATCATGGGGTCCCATTATAATTTAAGGTATATTCCCACAATTACAGCAACAACTTCTGCCAAGAGGCCTCGGGCGTTTGCATCAGCAAGTCCTCGGCTTCAGCTGGTTCAGGCTTTATGGCATCATGTAGGAACCTGATTGAAACCCCCCCTATAACCCCAAAATAGTAGGATTCATACAAAGAACCCCAATAAAGACCCAGGGTTTCTTAATCAGGTTCCTGCATGATTACGTCTGGAAGCATAGAAAGTTTCTGGAGAGTTATAGCTTTCTGGAGCCCAGCCCCAAAACCACCCAAAGAGCGAAACCTGACGCTGACGCTTTCGTAGAGGGCTTCGCATAGCTGCCGCCGTAGACCGAGCAGGGGTAGCTGCGAGGCACGGCACCAGTTTCTTGCTGAAGTTGCGAAACATGTAAGCCATTTTGCACCAGAAGCTACAGTTGCTGGATGGTTCCAGGCTTCAGCCAAGGCTAAACCCGAAACCCTCACCCAACTGTTGTGCAGTGGTGCATTGATCGCCAGACCGCTTGAGTCAGATGCAAGTGAGAACTGTATGTCTGCTACTGTACCTGGAGTGCTCGACCAAAACCATCATGCATAAACTCAAGACCTTTAACCTCCAATCGCCAACCAACAAATTTCAACCCTGACACCTTTAATTCTACAACATTTCTGCCCCTTGTACCCGGATTGTACCCGAGACCTACTACAAAGGGAGCTCCAAGAGCTAAGGCGAGTGGCACAACCAGCGCATTCGGCAAGCTCTGCGTCGTCAGCAGAATCGGATACCTGACTCTGACTTTTCTAGCGCTGCATACGTTTCCAAGGGATCAGCGAGGCTTTAGATGAGGGTTCTCTGGGGTGCTCAAAGGGGGTTTATACAGGGACCTGAATAATCAGAACATGGTGTAGTTATGGAGGGGCTATTTTTAGGCGATGCTACTAGCAACCCGACCCCTGTATTGCCCGACTGCAACAGGGGACGAATAGCAGCCAGAAGGGATAATGGTCGATATCTTCGGCTCGCTCTACATATATTCGTATGATAAACTAGGATTAGTGAGGCGAGGCCTACGGGTAGAATCATGTATACCCTAATCACAGGACATTAAATGCCAGACCCCGCAAAATATTTCAGGTGTGTGGTCCTGGCATGCCACCCTAAGTCTTATTGAGCTCGGTATCTGCGGAAGACCCTACCTATAGTCTCCATTGTAGTTCCTTTTGTGGATTTAACCAACTTTCTATGTAGGAGGAGTAGGATCCTATAAGGTATCCAAAAGAAGGAACTGCGATGAGGACTGCAGGTAGCCTGCAAAGTCCGAGAACGACCCTACAAATACCATTGCACAACCGGTTGCAAATAAAAGCCTAAACCCTAAACCCTGAACCCTAAACTCTAAACTCCACAGAAGGTAACCTTAAACCCGTTGATGCCCACACCCAGACCCAGAAACCTCCTCAGCAGTAAAACTTGACAATGAAACCCTAAACCCTAAACCCTCAGAACACCAATGCAAAGAGATATTAACTGGATTTAGGTCAAATGGCCGGATCCGGAGCGCGGTCACAAGGTTTTCGGCAAAAATTCTGTCCCGGAATAAGTACGGGCGTGACCCGTTCCGGGGCTTAGGATTTAGGGTTCAGGGGTAAGCAGCTCTCCTTACTTTGCAAAGTTTTAAGCCACAGCTGGGTGCTACACTTTGTGTGAAACACCTCGATCTGTAAACCGTTCCCCGCTGCCCTCTCCCAATGCCTTTTTTGTCAGAGGCATCGTCAGCTTGCCAGGGGAGTCCCGGGCAACCGAAATGAGCCTTCAGGCGGTTAGGGTTACCACAACAAGGAATGTCAGGTAATTGTTGGGGCCCGTTTTCGTTTCTTAGGAGGTTCTTACAGGATTGCCACTAGGGCCAAGGGCTACTACAAGATTTGACTACTTTCGGGTAGTTGGGGTGTGTGAATGGGCTTTAGCATAAAGCCTCTTAGGTGGTAGGGTCTAGGCAAACTCTAAACCCCGGAACCGTGGCACTACATGTTTGAGGCTCCGACCTCCTGGCGTCTGAGCTGAATGAGTTTCGGGGTATAAAGGAATCCGGCCTGCATAGTCGAGCCATGTCGAGCCCCAAACCCGAGACCCTAAACCACTAAACCCCTAAACGCCTAGACCCCACCTGTAGCCGGAAAGACCTACCCGTTTAGGGTTCCTTCTTATGGGTTCTATCTATATATATATATAGGTCCTTAAAAAGGTAGGTCTTTTCCGTTACAGGCAGACCCTAAACCCTGATCCGAGGAAGTGTGGGGAGAGTGCCGGAGAAACTGATCGCCACAGAAACGGACATGTCCCAGGTCCCGCCCCTCTGCCTCCGGTTTTTTCTCCGTTTGCTTGTAGGAAAATGCTCAAATTGAAATTATCATGCCAGAGGGATATGTATGCATGTATGTACGTATGTATGTATCGACGGGTAGATGGGTAGATAGCTAGCTAGCTAGCTAGCTAGCCAGCCAGCGAGCTAGCTAGAAACATAGATAGGTAAATAGATAAATAGACAGACAAACAGAATGATAGAATGATAGAATAGTCAGATGCTCCTCCAGTGACTTATATCAGAAGGCGTACCTGCTGAAGAACTCTCTGAACTCTGAACTCGAGCACCTGGCCTTACAAATCAAATCTTGCAAGACTCCCAAACTGCAGGAGCCGAGAAATAAAAAGCAGTAGTATCCTTGTATGAACAGCCCTGTATCGAAACTTTTACAGCAGTTAACCGTCAACCCTTGTAAGAAGAAAGGAGCCCTTTAAAAGGAACCTTATGAATTATGACCCCTCTATGTATTGAACCCCCTACAGAATCCTGATAGACCCGCAGGGGCTCTCTCTTGTAGAACCCTAGCCTAGAGGTCCCCTTACGGGAACCCCGTACTCTTCAAAGGAAAGTCTTGAGGGGCCCTCGCAGAGCTGCGCCTCTTCCAGATGGCCGGCCGGGGTAGGTCGATTGCCACCACGTGAGCACCCAGGGACATCCTCGCGTGATAGAGTTAAGGGCGGAGGGTATAAGGGTGTAGGGCATCCAGGGTTTAAGGTTTCGGGAGAATCACAAGATTTGGAGTTTAGGACATGAGGTACTGATTCAACGGTGTAGTCGGGCAATCAAGTTGGGTTCTCACAGTCTTTAAAACCTGAAACTCTTGTTGTAAACCCCTCTTTTGGAGTCTGTGTCATGTGTTCGGAAATTTGATCGACTCCGAAGCAAGGCAAGCCAGTGTAGAACCTTGTATACACAGGATGGTCGAAAGAGGTTCCAGCTTCGGCTTTTTGATTGGTGTCTGGTCTAATACACATGTAGTCATGTGATACGGTCGTAGCTCTCTGAGATTGATGGCCCATAGAGACTCTGGGTTTCTAGGTTTCGGAAGATCAGGGTAGTTCTCTAAAGTCGGGTCCCTTTGTAAGGAAAAACCCCTAAGCCCTAAGGCCTCCAAAGCAAAGCCGAGCCTTTAGGGTTTAGGGCTTAGGGCCGACTTCCCGCAAAATCCGTAGATCCTGGGCTAAGGGTCAAGGGTTTAGGGGATTCAGGGTTTATTTGGTTCAGGCTTTGGGTATTCCGGTGTAGGGGTTTATAAGGTTCAGGGCTCCGGATCGATAAGGAGCCCGCAATCCCAACCCTCATTACCCTTAAGGCCCCCAAAGCCCGAAGCAGCTAAACCCTAAACCCTAAGCCCTTAAACCCTAAACCCTAAACCCGAAACCTAAATCCACCAGAACCCTGGTAGCGCCGAGCGACAAAATTGGAAAGGGGCCCATCGCCGAGCCTGAGCTTTGTGAGTTGGGTTTAGGGTTTAGGGGTTTAGGGTTCAGGGTTCAGGGTTTAGGGTTTCGTGCTTGGACCCTGTTAGTTGGTACACTCGAGCATAAACTTAATCAAACCACAAAAGGTTCGCTCCATGAAGCCTCCATGTAAGAAGGTACAGGGAAACGCAAAGCATCTGTTCCACTGGTGGGGGGTCGCTGTGAGGGTCCAACAGGACCTAGAGGACCCTTTCGACAGTATGGTAGGTCGCCCGGAACCTCGAATATACGTGGGTTACTCCACTCATTCATCTATGGGTCCTTAATCACTAAAAGAACCCTTTGAGGAATCCTTTTACTAACCTGGAAGGAACCCATGAAGGAAACCCTGACAGTCTATGGCAACTCCAACAGCAACTCCTCCAGGAACCCTTGAGAGGAACATAAATGAGCTCTTGAAGGATGTTTGTCAAGCTGCCCGCGCCGAAGAGCACGAAGGTGTGATCTGACAGATCCTCGAAGAGCTTTGGCGGAGCTTGGGGCTCTCAACCATGACCCCCTAGGTTTGGGGTTTATAGGGTTTAGGTCCAACAACTGCTTAGCTTTCGGTGTTCAAGGTCAAAGGTGTATGTAACTGACGGCAGAGCACCAGACTCTCAGATTGCAAAGCGGTCGATAGACTCAGATCCGAAATAGTCGGATGCTCATTACACATGCCCAAAGACCGCATCCTATACCCTAACCCCCTACGACCCAGTCAGAGGGTTTGGGGTTTAGGATTTGTTACACTGATCCCAGAATGCTTTCAGCCGGGGACCTAAGCTACACTGATCCTGGAATGCTTCCATGCGGGGAAAGGTATCTGCAAGGGCATTTCGGATTGCGGGATCCGGGGTCCAGATGCAGGGGTCGGAGTGATTCTCTCAAAGTTTTGCGTTTTGCGTAAGGTCTAAACGGTGAGGCCGGGGCCATCACTGTGTACATATCATGGCTGGTTACACCGGGAAGACCTCCGATCGAAAAAGCTTCATGCTGCTGCGGCCTATACGTGCAGAGTCGAGAGTGCCATGCTGATTGCCCTGAGACAGCGCGCAGAGGGACACAAGAACGCACCACGAAAAGCCCTGAAGCACAAGCGATAACCTGAAAAAACACACACACACACACACACCCCAAGCCGCTAAACTCACAACCCCGAAGCCTCAACGACCCTAAACCAGTCACGTCTAACGAGTCTAACACCCAACGAAAGCCTTTTTGGGCCTCTATACATATCTGCTTTTTGAATAACACGGGGAGAACTCTTCACATATATATATATATGTATATATATATATATGGTATTTGAAGCAACCAGGGAGAAACAAGCTTGCGACTACTTGATTTCATGATCTTTCCTTCGTGGAACAAGTTCAAAACCCAAGCAAAACAGTGTGGTACTCCAGAGGCCAAAATCCTCATAAACATCCCCCTAACGCCTAAAACATCCTAAACCCCTAAACCCTAAACCCTAGGGTTGTCAACGAGATGTCTGATGAGCCTAAACCCTAAACCCTAAAACCGCCCCATTAGCCAGGTCTCCAGCCAATCGGAGCTCCCGGCAACCAGATTCAGGGCAGCACCGGTGTCCAACTCCTCTGTCTGAATTGCTTTGATTCGACGGTGGGGTTCCTTCTTTAGTTTTTAGGGCTTAGGGTTTAGGGGTTTAGGGTTTAGGGGTTCCTTCGCTAGGGTTGCACAGGGGTTACTATAAGTGTTTAGGGTTTAGGGGTCCATAGGGATACTATGTGGGTGTGGGGTTTAGGCTTACCTGTCCAGAACCCAAGGGGAACGACAAGCTAACCTTTGGGATTAGTATACACCAAAACAGGTTCGAGGGTATGTACTCAAATTACTAAGACAAGGTCTCTCCGGGCCTCCCTAACCCGAAACCCTATAAGCCTTGAGCCCTACGGCCTAAACTAGTTAGGGTCTTTTGGGGTTCGATGCTGTAGGCTTCGCGCATAGAACTGAGGCTTCAGTATGCGGTCCTTTCAGGTTCAAGCTACCCCCACAAAAACCTAGTTTTTATAGGACCTATAGAAGGAAAATCATGGAGCGGAGCCCTGAAAATGTAGGGTCTTTGGGGGCGCAGGAAAATTTCAAACCAAACCTGGTACACTCAACCGTAAACCGTGAACCGAACCGCTAAACCTTTAACCGAACAGTATCAGCTCGGCTCAAGCTCTGCACTTAATTCGAGCGATGAAGCAGTCTTCTCTTTCAATCACAAAGGGCCTAGGAGTTTTGAAGCGGTATATATATATATAGATAGATAGATAGATAGATAGATAGATAGATAGATAGATAGATATATATATATATGTATGTATAAGGAAATCATACACGGACCCCTAAACCTAAATCATGTAGAAGTCATAAGGTTCCAGGTAGACCTCAGTTTAGGTTCATAACAAGCCCTACAATGAACACTAGGAAATCCCACAGTGAATCTTAACCTGAACCCCAAACCCTTCATCAAGCCTCCACGAACTGAGTTGTAAAGGTTGAGTGGGTGAGGGTAAAAGCCAGCTGAACCGTGAATCCCCTCGCATAGTACGATGCACTCGACACAACCTTATCGCAAGACGCTGGCGCCGAATGGCAAACCCTAAACCCTAAAATCATAACCCATAAATTCCTACCGTAAAGCTTCTGAAGCCATAAGCTCTAAAACCCTACACCGCCCCGAACACCAAAGCCGACTCTTCGCCGTGGCTCGATGACTCCACGCCGGACCCACAGCTCCACCTGCCAAGCTGAACCGGGCAGGCTTTCCAGGTTTAGGGTTTAGGGTTTATAGGTTTAGAGTTTAGGGTTTAAAGGTTTAGGGTTTAAGGTGTAGGGTTTAGGGTTTAGGGCCCAGGGCTCGTGGGATGTTGTGGTCTCGTTGACTGTCCGGGGTACACAGTTTCGGGGTGTCGGAGAGCAGGTAGGGATTTGAATTGTCACATGACTTTGCGGAACGTTGTGCTAGGGATGAATGTCATGGGTCATGGGTTCTCGCTGTTTTTTTTCGCGCCGCTGCAGGGCTGTGGGGTTATGGTTCTGAGACTTCGGATGCAGTTTTGTTGATTCTTGCTTTTCTCACCTCTTCTACAGTGGAGGAAGGGGGAATCGATACACGTGCGCCAAAACCATAGGTACGGATTTACAAACTCTCGCACCTACATTTGTCTGGACGTAGGAATGTGCTCATATGCAGCATCTGGCGGAGAAGAGAATCACAATGCTTTATAGACATAGGATTCTATACATTGCTGTATATGCATTATGTGAATAGACGCACATATCTCCACAAGGCCAGCTACAACAGGGGTACATGCACAGATACAGATGTGTCGAATCGGACAAACCCAAAGGGTTCTAATGTCCCGAAGTGCCTACATGGTAAAAAGCTGGGATTCTATCGTAGGAATTAGTATTATGGTTTGGGTAAGTATCCCCCATATTCTTTGGGAAAAGGCAACATGATGCAACACCTGCTGAAGTCCGAATCTATGCTGTCGTTAAGCTGGCATGGCTCATAATTACTCTTAGTGACTCTTAGTGATGAGGAAGCAAGCGCGCTCTCGCAGCACCTCGCACCCAGAAGTTCACTGTAATCGAAGCCAGAAACACAAGTAAGTATGAAAACCGAACCCCGAAACAATAAACCTGTCAACCCTAAACACCAAACCCTAAACCATAAACCCCTAAACCCTAAACACTTACCCCCCTACACCCCCTAAGCCCTGAACCCTAAACCCTGAACCTCAAACTCTAAACCCTAACTCGGCTTCAGACGCCGCAGCCGGCCAGGCCTGTGCGCGCAGTGCATCACCGGTAAGGACGGATCCTTTGTAGGGAACCTGGCAGGGACGAGGGGTTTAGGGGTTAGGGGGTTTAGGGCTTAAGGGTTTAGGGGGTTTAGGGTTTAAGGGTTTAGGGGGTTTAGGTTTTAAGGATTTAGGGGGTTTAGAGGGAGGAGGGGTATTTAGGGGTTTAGGGTGTTCTGTCAGGGTTTATGGGGTTGGCTACAGTGGTCGAGAAGTTTTGGTAACAGACTTGGAACCTTAAGCGTGAACGCTGCTGCATCCTGGCAATGACGAACCGCCATGCTGAAGTACCTACTGGAAACCCACCAGAGCACCAAATTAGAAAATTCACGAACTCTGAGCAACGTTTGTATTCTAAACTATGATGCATGTGATACGGAAATGAAAAACTGCATACACCGGCAACCCTGGCACCTAAAACCTCGACCTAAACCTAAGCTCTGAAACCGAAGGCTCTAATCCCTACGACCTAACCTAAACCCTCAAAACCCTAAACCCCCAACCTTATAGAAACCTTTCAAACTTTAACGAAACATTTCTTATTGTAGTCATACTAAGTAGAAACCCTGAAAAGCTCCACAAGCAAACTTGGACCCGTGAGACGTCCTTGGGATCCCCATGCCCCTCGGAAAAAAGGCATCCCTGTATGGTATTGGGTATACGATTTAGGGTTTAGGGCTTAGGGTTTAGAATTTAGGCTTCAGGGTTTTGAATTTAGGTTTCAGGGTTTAGGGCTTAGAGCTGCATAAGGAATCCAAGGCCACAACAGGGCCCGCTGGGGGATCTGGCGCCCCAACACAAAAACCGCATCAGAGCCCCTGTAAAAGCACGGAATAGGGTCTATAGGCATTTAGGCTTTAGGTTGAACAATACCCTCCTAAAATCCATGGGATTCACCACCCCAGAACCCTAAAGCCTTAATGAAACCCTAACAACCCTAAACTCTGAACCCCTAAACCCTAAACCCTTGACCCCTAAACCCCTAAACCCTGAACCCCTAACCCTGAACCATTAAACCCCCAAACCCCTAAACCCTGAACTCCTCAACCCGAAACCCTAAACCCTTTACCGTAAACCCCTAAACCCTGATTAAATCCCGAATGCGTGGCCTCCAAGGCCCTGGGCCCAGGCTTCTTTGAGCCCCGAATCTCTTTAGACTCGAAGGAGGAGGCCTTTCAGATTTTGCTATTGTTATATTTATTATTATGTTTTTTTGGGGGGAAGGGGCTTTTAGGGAGTTTTTTTTGTTTGTGTGTGTGTGTGTTTAGGGTTTAGGGTTTCTAGGGAGTTTAGTGTGTAGGGTTGAGTTTGAGTGTAGGGCTCTGTTTGGGGGTGTAGGGAGTTCAGGGTTTAGGGGCCTGGGTTTGGTGTTTAAGGTTTGGGGTTAGGGTTTAGGGTTTAGGGTTTAGGGGTTAGGTTTTTGGGGTTAAGGTTTGGGGTTTAGGGCTTACGGCGTGGGGATGATGGTAGTAGAATCGGGCTAGGTGCATCACAGCATACCTGTAGCGGTGTAGTAAGGGAACATGGCTGAGGGTTTAGGTAATTCAATACGAGTACAGCAGGGATCCTGCTACTACGGTTGATGATATAAATCCTGCATTACCCATAATAAGGAATATACCATAATTCACATCGTTTAGGAGCCTAAGGTCATGCAGGATTTATATAATCAACAGTAGGGGGTCCGTGCAAGAAGGATCTTAGTAATACAGCGGTCCTTCTAAAAATGATCCTGCTATGATCCCTGGGTTGCTTCAGTGAAAGATTGCTTCGATGATTTGCCGGGGTGGGTCGCTAATCCCAACTCGCAAGCTGAGTCCAAAAATCCTTGCAATTTAGGTGCCATATATAACAAGGGCCCATGTGACTTAAGCTTTGGTTCAGAGTGTGTGAGGGTGTAGGGTTGAGGTTTGGCGGAGTAGAGGTTTACGGTTTCGGGGGATTTCATGTTGAGGTGTTCACAGGCAGCAGCAGTTGCAGCCACCGCACTCAAAACACAGAGTTGATACACCCCACTCTAAAACGTGCTCAGTTTCAATCAAGGTCAAAACTCCTACTATTGAGGACACCCTAAAGAGACAAAATGACAAACCCTAAACCCTGAAACCTCCTTACCCTCGTGGAGCAATCTAGTTGTGGACCGTGACAAGACACTTGGATGCTCTTCATGGCATCCTTCAGCGAAACACTGGATCCGTCTCCTTGGCAAAACGATCCAGCGCATCCAGGTTTTTCAGATTCCCTGGTACAGGCATCAGGGTTTGGTATTGGGTTTAGGCCCTACACCCTGACGGCAAGCTTGGCATCTAGGAATGGCCCGACCTGTGGCTGATAGAAGGTTGTTGGCGTCTGTAAGTAAGATCCGGCCCAGTCCCAGCCCAAAGCCGGTTCGGCTACTGATTTGGGCTTTGGGTCTATGTTGTTTTGGCCGTTCATGTAAGTGCTGCTCCCCGAGGGAAGCAGCAAGCAGCAACCGAAAGTCAGCACAGATCAATACATGCACAGAAAGCTGTTTTTTTTCGGAAACTCGGACTGAACTCACTAGACATAAACCCCAAACCAACGGTTAGGTCCACAATTTCCGAGCATGACGGTGGCCGGGACGCTGCAGAATTGCATGTGGGAGTGCAGGTACTCGAGCCCATCTTTGGCAATGCCTTGGCCCCAGGAGAGTGGCACTTTGCAGTCAAAGTCCTGTCTAAGGGTCTTGAGGGTTTAGGGTTTCGGGATTAGGGTTTAGGGTTTAGGGGTTGGGGTTTAGGGTTTAGGGATTAGGGTTTAGGGGTTAGGGTTTAAGGATTTAGGGATTTAGGGCCTCAAAGTCCTGTCGAAGAAGACTCCCTGGTTCTTAGTAGGGAATGGGGGAATGGATCCTTATGATAGTCCCTTAAGGTCCCCTAGAGGAGTCCCAATAAGCCATTCCCCCATTCCCTACTGAGAACCAGACAGAAGAACCCTCAATTTGCATTTACGCCTCGTTCTCCTGCCTGGGTTAGGAATCCTACATTGCACACCGAGACGCACTCGACGTCCTGAGATTTGTTGGGTTCCATAAACCTGTAGAATTCAAACCTAAGGCCACAACAAAGAAGCTTCGAGCATCGTTATCCTCATGCCTGTAAGGTAAGTTGCGGGGAATCCCTTCACGAATCATCATTCACCATGTTCCAACTTTGTGGGGTTCCCTATAGGTATCATGCAATCAACCGCTCAGTCCCGATATGCATATCTACACTTGATGGACTACCGGTCTATTTGCATGGGACCAGATGCAGATACACAGACGCACACGCACACACAAACACACGCACGCAAACAAACAACAACAAGCAAAGCAGGCCTACCCATCACATATCAATCCATCGATCCATCCATCCGTCCGTCCATCCAACCATCCATAGATCCATCCATTCGTCCATCCACCCACCCATCCATGCATCTATGCACTTCTTAGAGTCTAGATATACCTGATATATGTTGATGTTCCTAGTTTTTCATACGCATTTAGAGCTTGTATTCCGGGTCACCCAAAGCTGCCTCCTCTGACGTGGCCGCCAGCTGTGTCTGGCGGACGACATGCTTCACCTCAAAAGAGCCCTTTTTGGGGTTTAGATTTTGGCTGTATGGGTTTATAGTCTATGGTAGTTATGATTAATGCGGGTTGCTTTAGGAGCCAGGATACAGCTACTATAAGGGCATTATAAGGGTGTAAATGTAGGGTATCCGGCATGACATCGTAGATTCTGGTGTTTGGGAGTCATTGTGGAGTTCTCCAAACCATAACCTCTAAACGGGCCTTGGGAATTGCCGCAGCAAGTGAAAAAAAAAAAGCTGCAGAAGTCGGGTCGCTTCATTGTGCAGCGGATTGCTCAACAACCAAATCTTCAACCATCCCCTCAATTAAAGAATCTACTCATAAGATCCCAACATGACCTAAGCCTATTCGGTATCAAACCCTAAACCCTAAACCCCTAAACCCCTAAACCCTAAACCCCTAAACCCCTATACACCCTAAACTATTTAAGTGGATATTTGGCAGATTTCGGTCCTTCCGCAGTGTGAGGGACTCTGCAAGGTCTGGTTCCTTTAAGGGTTCCGTGAAGGGTACCTTTTGGGGTTTCGGTGTTTAGGGTTTTATGGCTTTAGGGGTGTTTTGGGGGTTTAGGGCTTCTATACTTTAGGGTTTCGGTGTTTCGGTGTTTAGGGCTTTAGGGGTTTTGGGGGGTTTAGGGCTTCTATACTTCAGGGTTTCGGTGTTTGGGTTTACGGGGTTTAGGGTTTAGGGGTTTTGGGGGCTAGGGCCTTCTATACTTCAGGGTTTCGCTGTTTAGGGTTTAGGGGCTTTAGGGCTTCTATGGGATACTACCTACAGTCTCCATTGTAATTCGTTCCTTGGCTTGGCCGAACCAATTCTATATGTAGGATCCTCTCGGGTAAGTCGAAGATACTACAATGGAGACTCTAGGTAACCTTTGTGCTTGAGCATCCGGCATAGCCAAAGCGCCACTTCTTTTCTGCCACGGCGGCCTGAGAAAACACGGACACAGGGCTTGAGCAAGAGGGAGAGAACAATGATTACCCCAAACTCCTTCCACGAAGGTCGCCTGATACACAGGTCTGTCAGCATTAGGGGTTCGGATATCGGAAAAGTAGGCTTGTTGGGTGTAGGACTCACTGTCCCTCTTGAGATGTTCGGCGTCCTTGCGACAAGCATTCTCCTGCTCAGGGACTACATTCGGATCCCCTATCTTCGCCCTACACCATCAACCCTAAACCCTGAACCATCAAACCCTAAACCCTAAACCTAAACCCTGAACCCGACCTGAACTCTATGCCCTGCACGCTATACCCATAGGCTCCATAGTAGTTCCTTTTTGTGGTAACATATTAATTTGGGATCCTACAAGGTAATCCCCAAAAGGAACTACTATGGAGGCTATGGGTAGTAGCTCCTGCTAGCCATAACCCGTTGCACCCCCAGACCCAGAACACGAAACCTTACGCCTGAACCCTACAAAACTCTTTCAACTCTCAGTCCCCTGAAGCCCTAAACAACACCCTCAAGACACCCTTCTTGAGGAAAAAATAGGAATAAAGACAAACATAGGTAACACGAATTATAATAACCATCATCATCACAATCATAGAGACACCCTCTTGATAATATTAAGAGTACAAACAATAATCAGTAATAAGAATAAGAATAACCATCATCATCATATAATAATGAGGGCTGGGAAGCCTCATGGGCGTCCTTGAAGCCTTTCACAGAGGCGGCAAAAGCGCCTTGATTCGTCCCTGCGGCTTGGAGGATCTTCGGGTTTTCAGGGTTTAGGATTTAGGTGGTTTTAGGGTTTAAGGGTCCGGGTTTTGGGGTTTAGGGTTTAGGATTTAGGGGTTTTAGGGTTCAAGAGTTGGGGGTTTGGGGTTTTAGGGTTTAAGGTTTAGGAATTGGGGGCTTTGGGGTTTAAGGCTCGGGGTTTTGGGGTTTGGGGTTTAGGGTTTAGGATTTGGGGGCTTTAGGGTCTGGGCTTTGGGATTTGGGGGTTTAGGGTTCAGGGTTCGGATTTGTGGGTTTTTATTGGGGGTGTGGGTTGGGGCTTAGGGTCTCCATGTAATATACAAGTCTTTCAGGTTAGGATGTTACGCTATAAAACCGGTTAACCAGAACAAGGAAATTCAACGGATGTTATGGGTAGTAAGCCTATAGTAAGCAGCGCTTAAGGTTTAGGGCGTAGAGTTTACAGGGTCTAGGTTTTAGGGTTTTAGGGTGTCTAAGGTTTAGCGGTAGGGATTCAGGGTTTAGCAAGTAAGATTCTTCGTGGCTGCAAAGAGGAAGCATTAGTTGATGAAAGCCCCAACCTGCACAAACAAACCCCTTCAAACTTGAACCCTGAACCCCTAAAAAAAAACCGAACCCCCAAAGCCAAAGGTCGTAAACCCCTATATACCTCACATGGGGAAGGGTCTCAGAGAGAGCCTCTCTTGTGCCAAAAACCGTCAGCCGAACAGGTCGAATCCGATCTTCCGCTGGGATCCACCCCACTGATTCTCACTCACATATATGGGTAGTTCTGCAATTAGGGTCCCTTGGTTTCTATAGGGTTTGGAGCAGGGTAATATGTGGGTAGTTCTCTAGATTAGGGTCCCTTTTGCGGTCCTTTCTATAAGGGTGTCGTACTACTTACTTTGGGTAGCTCAAAAGGGACCCTAATTTAGAGAACACTGCTCGTATACGGCTCACCAGAAGCCTGATGTAAACCCTGACTATCTCACGGACCTGCAGGACGTGGGAATTTGTTAAACTGAAACTGACCCCTTCCATCAAGTAAGTGACTAGAGATTTCCCACATCGTGAACCTATGATGTTAGTAGATTAGGGCTATGGGGTTATATGATATGATAGCAGAATGATAAACGAAACATAGGGGATGCTGTGGTAATTGAGACAGCTCCATAGTACACATGCCTCTCGTAAGCCCGAAACCGGAACAACTGCGGAACCCTAATAAAACCGTATGCAGCACAAAAGCCATAAAATCGCTACAAACACTTTCCACCTCAACCCTCAAACGTAAACCCTATATAAACCCTACACCCCGGAACTCAACCCCCAAAAGCCATTACCAGCGTACGGAGGGATCTCGCAATCCTAAACACCCTACACCCGTAAACCCTAAACCCTCCTAAGCCCCTAAACCCCAAACCCCGAAACCCTAAACCCCTAAACCCCTAAACCCGGTCCTGTGGTGCTCCTCTTGCCGTCTGCATCCTCCTTGGCTCGGAAGCTTCTTGAGAGCTTTCAGAGGTTCCTTTCAAGGATTCCTTTCAGGGTTCCTTTAACGGTTTGTGTAGAGGTTCTATATGGGATACAAAAGAAAGGGTGCACTAGAGGGGCCTTATAATTTATGTTTGGAGTAGAAATGCAGCTTTGGCGAGAATAAATCCTAAACCTAAACCCTAAACCCTAAACCGCATAAGGCACCCCTAGGAATAACGCTGGTCATCCGAAACCCCATTGTCTAAACCTAGGAAGCTTCACCTGCGTCCTGCTTAGAAGATCTAGAAGGTTGGGAGTTATTGTGTAGTATAGGGGCCTTAAGAATTAGAATAGGGTTTTGGGGTTCCCTTACAGGGTTTCCTGAAAGGGTTCTATAAGGAGTGCTATAAGGGTTTGGGGTTTAGGGGCCTTAATCATCAACATAGGGTGTTGGGGTATACCAAACTATGAAATATAATACGGAACCCCCCAAAAAATATGGTGTTCCTGCTCCTGTTCCCCATGGACCAACGTGCCTATGGAGGCGCATCCCAAAAAGGCCGTGGCTCGAAGGCTCTGCCGTGCTCGGGCTACAGCCAGTCCACGCTGTGGTGGATCTTCTAAGCCCTGGATCTCCCTACCCTAAGGGGCCAAGTAGTCCTTATTTATGGTTTTTGGTACCCATAAAGGCCCCAAAGTCCTTAAATAAGGACGACTTGGACCCTTAGGGCTATAAACCCTATACACCACTGAAGAAT